AATTTTAAAGACCTGGGTCTCTTCAGCAGATCATGGTGGAGCTGTGAGCCACAGTAGCTGTGTGTGTTTTTCTCGGACCTGTTCCTACTTTTCCAGCAGCTTTTGTGCCACCAAATTTGGGTGCTTCAAGCCAAAACTTGATCTCCTCAGAACCAAAACCAAGTGTTCTGTGACAAACCTGACCACACCAGAGGAAGCTGAAGTTTCAACATGTCGGCTACAGAATAATGTACACATACAACGTATCCATGGTTTCCAGAAGTGTCCAGAGCAAACACTTTATGTCTGACGAACATGGAAACTGCAAATGTTTTGACATAAACACATTATCGTCTCTTTCCAGGTCTTAAACTATGAACATGTGACACTGCTCAACATTGACGCCTTCACTCAGTGTTAACTACACTACACTGTATCAAGGCCCTTAAAGACAGACTCAGTACTCACACAGTGTGACGCAGAGCGCTGTGACCTCCATGTTGTCCTCCTGCTGACTGACTGATCATCAGACTCAAACATAGTCTAAGTTTAATGTCGATGAAAGCTTCCTCTTCCTGTGTGGCTTACCTCTGCAGTATAGACACGTCCTGTGGAGGGACCCTGTGCTAATATCTGCTCTCACAGCTTTGTTATGTGGGTAAAAAAATCATCTTCAAACCTTCACTGTCGCTGATATTGAAGTAGTGAGACTGAATCAGTGTCAAAATAACTGACACATGTCAAAGTTGAGCACCTTGGAAATACAGACAGCAACAGTGTGAAGGACCACAATACTGTGGAGTAAAGCCCCCCCACCCCCTCCTATCGCATCACATAATCTACAGAAATCCAGCAAAGACATGAAAGTGTCCTGCGATGCTCATGTTCATGTGTTGTCTCTGACACATGCTAACAGGCCTCTTTATTCAGTGTCTTGAGCTTTATTTTGTTATAAACGTCCCTCATTTATTCAAAGTGATGAAGAAGAGGTCCTAGTCTGCCCTCTGCAGTCAGTCTGAGTGACTCATACAAGCTTTGCTCTCTTTAGTTGTGTTACAACGACCTGATCTCGTTTGAAGTTGTAGAATTCCACCTCTTTGTCAGTGACCTCAGTGTCAGACACCGACGCCAGAAGCAGTGTTCAGTTGGTAAGGCAGCCAGATGGAGTTTCATGGTGTTAAGAAATGTCAGTGGCTGCCTGGCACCTACTGTGGCACCTGCTGTGGCACCTGCTGTGGCACCTACTGTGGCACCTGCTGTGGCACCTACTGTGGCACCTACTGTGGCACCTGCTGTGGCACCTACTGTGGCACCTTCTGTGGCACCTACTGTGGCACCTGCTGTGGCACCTACTGTGGCTCCTGCTGTGGCACCTGCTGTGGCTCCTGCTGTGGCACCTGCTGTGGCACCTGCTGTGGCACCATGATGTGCAGATGGACGGCGTCATTTTATATCGATAACTGGTAACAACGTAATATATGGAGCTGGAAAGTCCCTATGAGGAGGGAGGGGTGGTGGATGAGGCCAACAAACCCTGGACGCTGTTTGCTTCCTGTATAAAACTAACCACGTGCTTATGTTGGTTTCCTGCCTGGAACTTCAACGGCAGATGTCGAAGGATAGCTAGTGTGTACAGTAACATGTAGACTGACACTGGGTGTGGTTACATGATGGCTTCTCATTCTGAATTAAAGTCTTTCCAGGTAGTTTACATGGGAAATATTCATTCTGAATGAGGGTTTACACAGAGATCAGTTTAATCGCCTTTATTCAGGTCTGCGCAAGGTTTGGGGCAGGGAAGGTTTCTGATTGGATAGGGGGCGGGCGGATGTTATGTGTTTACGTTTACCAGAAGAAAACACTGTAGTCCTCGTTCCAGATAACAAGATGCTTGACGACGCCGTTCTTAGTGCCTTTTTCAGGCTTTTTCTGCTAATGCTTTGTCTGCTGAGGAGGAGAAGGGAGATAGAAGGGTGCTATGTCATAATTCCGACATCCCATTATTCCAGAAATTACCCATTGTTCCGAAATCTCAATGTTTCGACATCCCATTGGTCCAACCATATTAAACTCACTGTTCCAAAGTCCCGTTGTTCCGAAATCTCAATGTTGCAATGCAAAAAGCAGCAAGAGACCGTGCTGTCGTGTTGTTTACTGTTGCCATGACGACAACAGTCACCCTGTTTTGAGGAAGTAGAAACGATGTTGAAAGTTATAATTTTAACCTAAACCACGATCTTTTCCAAACCTTAACCAAGTAGTTATTGTGCCTAAACCTGACCAGACCTTAACCATGAAACACTTATTTTGTAACAATTAAAAATGAGATTTCGGAAAAAAAGGGATGTCGGAATAATGAGCGGACCCCGATAGAAGACCGTGCTGTGGCGAATGGAAGCACAATAAGTCGCGTGCTATATACGTCATGGCACCAGAAGCGCAAGGAAACGAGCATGTGCAGAAAGACCGGAATGAACTTAAAGAGGAATGAGTGTATACAAGTGTGAGAAATTCTTTCATTGGGAATTAGAAATGGAATATTCCAGCCCCTTACATCGGATTGAATTTTCAATCACATTGGCCATTTTCATTCTGAATTAGGTGTTTACAAGATCACTTTTAATAGGAATGAACTTTCATTCTGAATGAAAAGGGAATTAAACTGTCCATGTAAACACACTCAGTGATGAAGTGCTGAAATGTGACGCCTTGGGATGAGAGCGTGTTGGTTAGCATGTATGAGGAAAATCACAACACTGTGCTGGAAAACTACAGATTTAAGAAGCAGTGAAAACATCCTGGAGTTCTGAGAATGATCTCACAAACAGACGACATGATCCAAGTCATCTTAACAGTTAACATGATCAAATATGTCATCAACCAATCAATAAAAGCACAAATCCTTAAACCACAAAGAAAAGATAGTTAGCAGTACATTTGTTCATTTATTATCCTTCCAGTATGTGACAGTGTATGTGACAGTCTGCAGCTGCAATGATGATAAATCATGTAAACAGACCGACTCTTCAGCCACTGTTGGCCATGTTGCAGTCAAAGGAACACAGTGTGCTGTATGTACGAGCATCTTTGGCCCTCAGGCTTCGTGACACAAATGAGCATCAAAGATCTTAATACGTTAATACGTAGAGTTTGTAACACAAGAGACTTTAAACTACTTTTACCTGTGGAAACTTTTAATCACATGATAGTCACATGATAGTCACATGAGCCTCGGTGCTGAGCTGCTGCTGCTGCACAAGTGACAACAATCAGACACCAAACATGCAGAGAAACAGAACAATAAATCAAAATTACAGCTCAAAAAAGTCAGAATCAAAAATACAACCATGACAGTGTAAGTCTAAGAAGTTGAGGACAACCACTGCTCGACCCGGAGAAGAATAACCAAGGTGCTGGAAGCATCAGTGAGTCCAGACCTTGATCAGAGCACATGTGCTCTGTGTGCAGAGATCTGCTCCAACAATACGTCTAATATATACAGGTACAGGTAGCTAGCAACAGGAGGTCAGAGGATGATGTGGACGGTCATGTGAGGACAGGTCTGACAGCCACAGCGTCTACCCTCCTACCAAACTTTAAGAATTACTAATAATATGGGCACTTCCTTCCACCTATACTGTAGTCCTCTTTGTCTTTTTGCAATCTGCTAAGTTTATGCCAACAACTAGGCGGAAAACTGCTGTTCAGCTAAGAACAATGGCAAATATACGCACGGAGCTGGGCGAGGAACACGCGGCCCTGGCAGCAGTGTCAGAGGAGATATTGGCCAAATATTTCAAAGAGGCTGATGAAAGAGCTGAGGCTCGTGCGAAGAGACTTGAAAAACAAATTGATAAGATGAACTCTGTTTTGTCAAGAAATCAAAACAATCCGCTTGGATACGACAATACTGCAACAGCAACAGCTGACTGTCAGAAGGACTTCCAAAGTTTGAATAAAAAGCTGGTTGAATTTGAAGACAGATCACGCAGAGACAACCTGCTGTTATTCAACCTCAAAGAGGGTCTGGAGAAGGACAGCGCCCTCGCCTACCTGACAGAGAAGATCCCGACTTGGTTCGCTGATCCAGTAGCTTTCCCCCCAGAGCTGATGAGATGTCACCGCCTCGGGCGGCCGGGACTCCGGCCTGACGGGAGACAACTCGGCCCCCGGCCGATGATAATGAAGTTCCTCTGCTACACTGACAGGGACCGCGTCTTGAATGCAGCCAGGGAAAATCCTCCTACGGTGGGTGGCCTCCAGCTGAAGTTTGCTCCTGACTACAGCGAAGCCACTGCAGCGCGTCGTAAACCTTGCTACAAGCTGATGCATGAGGCCCGTGTACAGGGCTACAAGGCGTTTCTGCTTTACCCTGCTACCATAAAGCTCATAAAGGGAAGCGAAATCCACACTTTTACGGACTTAAAAGAAGCCGCTGATTTCATCTCCCCTTCCCTATCTCCACCAGAGGCCTGAGCGCCCGGCTACAGGTGTGCAGAGGCGCATCACAACTGCCGAGCTGCAGAGAGGTAAGACTGTTTACTAGCTGTATGGCTGTAAGTTAAACATCACTTGAACATCGTACACTACCAACCTCGCTCGAACTACTAAAAACTGAGCCTTATATT